GCCCTTCGGATCGTATTCTGCCGGATGCAGCGCTTTCTCATTCTTTCATCACCATGACCTATCTTCATGCGTACGCCTTTCGAAAGCGGTATGTTTCACTGGTGCATCCTACTTACTTTTCTCCTTCCTTGTTACGACGGGCTCTTTAATGGACATTCACTTTTGGATATATACAGAAGTATATTTATGTAGAGTTTATGTAGAGATCTTGAGATTGCTGTTTTTACACAAAAAGACTATAGCATAAGGAATTTAGCAATGTTATATCTGCTAACTACTCTGTAGTGGAGATGTTCTTTTGGGACTACAAAAACAGGCCAATGACCGAGCACAGGCTCCGCTTTCTAGACATTTTACAACTACTGAACAATAGTTTGAATCAATATTGACACTAATAGGGTTACATGTCGCCTGTCTTTCGCAAGACTCGCGGTAATGTTTTCGAATTTTGTCAGGGACTTCACTTGCTATGGTCTTCTCCCGACCGCAAAATAGAGCTTCGTGCAAACAAACCAATAATGAAGGCAGTTAATGTTGTCCAGAGTAACGCTTTCGAAGTTTTTTTGATTTACAGTAGACGGATACGGTAAAAAGTGGATGAATAGTTAATTTTCCAAAATGCTATACTTGAGTTCTGTTATTATTGAGGTTAAATAACCACTAAGCAATTTTTATTCTGCCCGAGTACGGTCTGGGAGTAGCATTCATTCATGCTTCACTGCTTTTGGTGAATTTGCAGAAGATTTTCGTTGTTTTGTATCGATCTTATGCAAATCTCATTGGTCGAGCGCCTATCGCATAAATGTGTTTCAAGAAGATATACGCAAACGATCTGCGGCGATGAAAATTAACTCCTCTACTACAGTATTTGTAGATTTCTAACTTTATCGTGGTTTAGGATGTCACCAATTTCTCCATACTTTTTCACAGTTTGGACTGCAAGTGAAGAGAGTTAGATGAATGTTGCCAAAGACCGGAGTTCAGGACCACAGTTGGGCCTCTCTGACAACAATACCGTTATATTTTGCCTCAGACAACACTGACAACAAATACTATTAAATACTACTCGTCCAGCCTGTTTTACGCATGCGATAGTTTGACCGAGCTTAGTATTCTCTGTCTAACGGTTGCCGGCTATTAAATACAATGGTGCCAGTGATTGCTGCAATTTCTCTTCCAACTCGCCTCCCTCTAAGTTATTATAACGTTTCGGCACCGTCAAGGATCTGGTCCGGTACTAGCTGTTCTATATCAGTACAAATTGATTGCTAGTGCTGTTCTGTAAACTATGTTGTTATCTTGTTACCAAGTTAGTCCAAATAGCCAGGACCCCATTCTTTCCTACAATGCGGCTTCCATGCATAAAGTAGATCCTTAAAATCTCATTATTGATCCTTCACAAAAAGCTAAGAGGAATGGTTTGCGCCACACTAGCGATTTCATATCTAGTGGCAACTGAAGTTTTTTGTTTCGCGTCTTTTATAGCTTCTTGTTTATGTTCAAAAATCGTATTTCTTTTTTTTATAAAGGACTCACGAGTCAGTGGCTCTCATGCAGGT